TAATTAATTACGTGTCTACAACTATAAGAAAGCCAGCCGAAGGTCAATAAAGTTTGTTAATACTGCCGATTGTATTACACGATCATTAAAAAGAAGCATTAAAAGAATTTGCCCAAAAACGTGTTTTTTGTTTTTCTTTCGAAAGAACAGTTCGACTGTAGAACTATGGCATCCGAAGTAAAAGGTAAATTTTAATAATATTTCGCTTTATTTTGACAATCTAGTTCAATCTATGCTAACTTATGAAATGATTTTGTTTACAATGCAGTCAACAGTTGAAATCATTGACAATATTTTCTGAATGCTTGCAATTTGTTTAACAATAGAGTTTTGGCAACCAGCTTGTTATTTTCTTTGCCCTATTCTAGGTTAAGAAGATTCGATTCTGAATAGGTTTGCGAAATATGCTAAACATAAAAGAACTTTCTTTCCATGCATGCTCGAGTTTTTTGCTGTGCTACAAAAATCATTGAAAAATCGACCAGACCGTCAAGTGTTAAGCTCTCAAAGTCAAAGGCACAGTTAAATCGGTATGCCATAATGGCCTCCTCTGGCGACTTAGTTATAAGTATCGATATATCCCATAGATAAACATGCGAACAAGACAAAAACTTCCGCACAGCTCTCCAAGCTGCGTTTAACCTTCCAAGGTAGGTACCCAAGTTGACAACAACACAAATCAGTGAATTAGCATTGTTGTTGTTGTTGTTGTTATTATTATTTCTGTTACTGTTGTTATTGTTATTGTTATTGTTGTCCACCATTGGCATGAATGATTGATTTTATGTATGTAGCCGCCTGGCATAAAGTCACTCAATAAAATTACGAAAAAATGCGTCGTCGCATAGAACAAAGGCCACGGCAGATGCATCCATCTCTACCTTACTGACCAAGTGGCCATCGTCAGTTCAAGTGCTTGACGACGACGACGACGACGATGACGACGACGACACATCATTGAAAAAACAACAAGCAACAGCAGAAAAAAGCAAAAATGATTTCATCATGCAACAGCGGCGGAAGTACCTAAATAATGGGCTGTTTCATTAAGTACTTAAGTCAAGTTAGGGCCAAGACCTAGACAAAATATCAACTACATTTTTGATCAAATTTGCTGATTTAATTTTATCGAAAATTGTTTTTATTTAAGGGCAAGCATTGAATAGGGCAAGTGAAAATGGAGGGAACGGGATGTTCTTTTTTAATGTTAGCCTTAATTTATAGTTGATTATTAAAATTAGCATTTTTACTTCTGGTAGAACTGGTATAAAAATTATATTTTCTTGCGACTTTTTTCTTTTTATAGCAAACCCACATAGTTGCTGAACCTCCCTCTGAGTATCTATTTTTGTGACTACGCCTGTCAACGCTTCGTTTGCTCAGTTGCTCCCTGCTGCTGTTGCTGTTGTTGTTGTTGCTGCTGCTGCAGTTGCTGCTGTTGTTGTCGTCATCATCATCATCATCATCATCGTTGTCGTGTTGGCCAGGTTGCTGGTGTTGTAGTTGTTACAACAATGCGCCTTCAATTAAAGCGAGCAACCTTGAACTCTTTTCAAGCGGTTTATGCGCGTTCAATCAACGGCAACCGCGGCTGCTCATATCGGCCATATCGCGAGTCAGCAGCTTGCCGATCCTTGGCCATGTTGGCGACGCGTCGCTACAACAATAACAAACGGCAAACAGCAAACAACAGCAACAGCCAGACCAGTGAGCTCTGCCAAGTTAAAAGCGAAGCTGTAGCTGTAGCTGAAGCTGAAGCTGTCAATCTGCGTTCCTCGTCTTTTGCCTTTGCCTTGGCAATCATCGAGCGCGGCCTCTGCTCCGACCACGGCTCCGGGTTTGGCTCATTCCTTGGCGTCAACGCCGTTAGCTGTCGTTTAGTTTATTGTTGCAAATTGCTCAGTGAATTATGTGCCGAACTGCTTACTGGGAACGACCACACACACACACACACACACACATACACGTATGTGTATATTGGTATATTATGAGACAGGGTTTGACAGGAAATTTGATATTGTGGGTTTATTAGAAACCATTTTACTGTGGGTTCTGCCTTACCTATACGAACAGATCATTTGCTGGCTTAACGCTAATTTTCGATTTCAATTTAATTTACTGAACCTTTGCTGAAGACAGAGCACGAAAACTGAGAAGTGGGATTATAATTCAAAAGAAAATAAAAAATCATAAGCACATTTATCAGTGCAACTCAGCAATTCGACTTCGCATTAATTTCAATAGAGGCAAATGACAATATGGTATAGAATTGTTTGGCAAATCTGTTTCTTTCAAGTTTGTTTGCCAAGTCTATTGTTATCCGAGGGGCTGAGAAAATGTTTGCTGTTGTCGCTGTTTTTTTTTTTTGATTTATTTGTTTTTTATTTGCTTTAGCTGCCCACGTAGAGCTCCAGTTTTTTTTTTATTTTCATGTAACATTTTTGCCCTTAATCAAGCAAAAAAACCCTTTTGCCTGTACCTGGCTCACTTCACTCAACGCGACTTGGCTTGGCTCAAATCACAGCTACAACCCACACACACATGCCTCAGCCCGGACCTGGGACGGGACGGGCCCGATAATGTCAGCTCAGCTCAGATCAGCACTCTGGCTGCTCCGGTTGCTTGTTAAGCCCTGTGCCAACTTTGATTTTAAGCTCTGTGTCTCCAGACATTTGTCTCTGGCTTTTTTTTGTCATATTCGTTGTTGTTGTTTTTGTTGTTGTTGTTACCCTCAAATGCACTTTCAATTGCAGACAGTTTGACGTATATATGTAGCTAGCAAAAGTACTATATCTTTCATTTATCTATCTATATACGTACCTACCTATATTTTGTCGGTATATGTCTGTCTGTCTGTCTGTCTGCGCGTCTGTGTCTTTTGTGGCTGTTTTGCTTTCTTTATGCACCGATAGCTGAGACCAAGACGAAGACCAAGACGCAGAGTGAGGCTGCCCACAGGCACTTGGCGTGAGACGAAGCGTTTCAGCTGTGGGCTGTGCGGCTCCAGCTCCAGCTCCAGCACCAGCTTTGGCTCTGGCTCTGGCTCTGGCTCTAGCTCTGCCTGTGCCTTGTATCGGTTATATTTGCTTTCATGCGTGGCAAGAGCCTCAATCTAACACATGCACACATAAACACACTCAGACACACACACACACACGAACACATACAAAGAGTCGTCGTCAAGTAGCTGCCATGTAAAACGCTTCCTACTTAAGCCCAGCGGCGCATTGTTATAATTCGGTAAATTATTGCAACATTTATACCCTAGCCAACAGAATTACTGTGCAAGTGGCTTGTTAGACCGAGGACTATGTATGTTTAATGAACAAATTACAGATATAATAACCTCACAGTTATTTGATATTACGACATGCTACTTTCGATTCGACTTAAAGTATAAAATTCTTATTTATTTAAAATTAAATTAGTCAATTAAAGTATAAAATTCCTATTTATTTAAAATTAAATTAGTCAATAGAAAGAGCATCTAAGCTTCGTCTTTGTTTAATGTTTCAGCTTTCGTTTGGCTTTGAATAACTTTGTTGTTTGATTTGATGTAATCACAAATTTTATGTATTTTCATTAATTAAATTACGTAAAGTGTAAAATGTGTGTTACATGTCTCGGACACGCACATCTATTACCCGCCCCTGTCTATATTTCTTCCAACTGTTTTTGCTTTCATTAGAAAGCCCACATAAAAGGCTTTGTTGTCCGCCCTGCTTAATTGTGATTTTTGTTTAGAAAAGCCATAACACAATTGTTAACCAATATATATATTTGGTTTTGTTTAACTTGATTAATAAATCGCTAAATACCATTCCAAATGTTGGTCCCGTTTCGCTGTGTGACATTCGCCATTTTGTGGGGGTCGAGAGCGTTTTCTATAATTTGACAATGACATTTAACACCTTTTAATGGCCAGATGTGAAATCTGGCTAATAAATATAGTCTTGTTGATGTCTTCATAAGCACAACAACAATGACGACGGGGCAGTTATCAAAAATGATTAAGAAAGCAGCAGCAGTAGCCGCAACTAAATCAAAAGACTTAGGCAACGAACCTGCGCGACGTTCTCACCAAACGAAAATGAAAGCTGGCAGGCGAGCAAAAAGGCAAATGGACAAATGAACACACAGATAGTCAGGCAGATAGATTGTCTGACGCACAGACTGACTGTCGGACTGGCTGACTGTCAGATAGACAAATGGATAGCTCCATGTATGCTCTTTTTACACTCGACTTACACGACGGCTTTTGAGAAAATTAATATGCCAAACAATTACAAGGCATGGTAAAAACAATTTTAAGCCCAGTTAATGTCGCTGCACAGTGGATGCAAAACAGTAAAACCTTCTAGCAAGATTTTGTTTTTTTTGAAAATTAAAGCTTTAGGGAAATAAATTTGTCAAACAATTACAAGGCCTGGTAAAATGTTTTCGAATTTTTATATTTTGATAAAGTAATAAACTTTAAGTAAAGCAAAGAAGTTTGCGAATACTGTGGCGAATATTTTATAATTTTTATGTTTTGGAAATCGAGAAAAAAAACTTAAAATAAAGCAATATATTTAGTTCATTTGCTTAGAATAAAAAATATGGCATAAGAAAATCTTTAATTTTTTTCGTAAATTTAATTTTGAGCCACTGTGCTGTGTGTTGGCTACCGTTTAGAGTTTAGCTATGAAAGTTAAGACTTTTGCTTTTCTTCGGTTTTTGTTTTTAGAAAGAGGCGAGCGTACAGATAATCAGCAGTTCAAGAGTTCGCCCCTAGGCGCATGCCCCACCCCCCCTTGCTCGACATGTGTGGCAAGAAAAGAAAGTTATACAAAATGTACAGAAACTGACAGCTGACAAGGGCCAAAGCCAGAGCCAGAGCCAGAGCCAGTGGCAGAGTCAAGGGACACCCTGCAGCTTGGGTTGGGCCCCAAATGTGATGCGTTGCAAACAATTGTGACAATATTGAATTGGATTGAGCTAAGGTGTGTACGAAAACTTACCTCCGCCATTGTTGGCACTGGAGCAATGCTTGGAGCTGAGTCCCTGGCCCGTATTCGTTGCGGAATTGGGCAACCCGCAGCCGCTCATGACGCCATATTTGATGGGCTTGAAGTGAAAGAAGGATGGCGAATAGCCGGAACCGGCACGACTCAGCGAACTGAACTGCTCCTCACGATCCTCAACGTAGAGTCCCTCCTTGCCCATGGCCGCCAGCTGCCTGCCCTTGGGCATAAACATGACCAGGAAAACGGTGGCCGATGTCGCCACCAATCCAAAGGCAATGCAAGCATCCTTATGCCGCTCAGCGACCGCCAAGCCGCACAACATCCAGCCCAGCCAGATGGGTATGGCGCCACCAATGGCTAGGCCGATGTATGTCGCCTCCCGGTAGTTGTCGCGTATGCCACGCGATTTGATCGCCAGCACCGCAATGAACACAATGAGGAACACAATGTAGATCAGTGAGAAGAGCAGCTCCGAGAATTGCGTCTTGCATAACGGTATCAGGACGGTGCTCACTGCCGCAATTCTCGTGTAAATCTCTGGCGTGCCGTCCAGCGTTGTGTAGGACGTCGGGTAGAAAAGCGCTGAATAGTTTGTCTGTGAGGCAACCGTGGTGGATAGAAAACCGCTGCCCATCACCGGCACACTGGTCGTGTAAATCTCTGGTGGCTGTGTCAGCAGCCACTGAGCACCGATGGCCACCTGGATGAGCAGCGCGAAGAGCAGCAACAGGCCCTGGTACGGTGCTGGCAAATAGACGCCGCCGTTGAGGCTGATCAGGAACACGCACTTGACGAGCAATGCTGCAAATACCAAAGCGTAGGCCACGCCCACGCCAAAGCGTATGGCGCCACAGCTGAGCAGCGTGGGCTGTGCCGTGATAACGGCGCCCAATCCGGCGCAGGCAAACAAGCCCAGCAGCAGCATTTGACCCAGAAACAGATGGCGGCGCGATGGTGAGGTGCGCCAGGCTTTGAACAGCACAAATATCTCAAAGGCGCCCATCATGAGCATGGTGAGGCTGGCCAGTACCAGGACGGGCACCACCCAAACCTCCTTGCGGAGGCCCGCAAACGGCAGCTGGGTGGTGGACACAATGCTGGGCGGTGTGGCATTGCCGCCTTGTGTGGCACGCGGCGTGTTGGCGGCGCGTGCACGGGCGCCCTGACTGCGCGTGGGCGTGGCTGCAGTGGTGGTGCTGCTGCTACTGCTGCCATTGCGGTGGCTACTGCTGCTGGTGCTCGACCTGAGCGTGGGCACCACAAAGAACTCCGTGGACATTTCCAGGCGCGCAGCGCTCGAAATGTTGCTCTCCAGCACATTGAGATCCTCGCGACGCAGCAGCTGTTTGGCAGCACGCCGTGGTGCAGGCGTCGTAGTGGTGCTGGTGGTGCTGGTGGTGGTGCTGGTGGTTGTGCTGTTGGCCTTGAGCAGCTGATATGCATTGCGTTCCCGCTCCTGTGGGGAACTGGCGCTGACGCTAGTCACCAGACGAACGCGTCGCCAAATGTTGTTGTTGTTGTGGTTGCTGTTTGTATTTGGATAGCGGGCAGCTGGCGTCGCCGCGATGAGCTGCAGGATGAGCAGAAGCAGCAGCAGCAGCCTGCTGGCCTCGATCCTGCAACTGGCCGGCGCACAATTGGCCATTGGATCGAAGACGCGTTGCCCGTTACGTGCCAACTCAAATGCTGCACATGCTCGCGCACACACACATACACACGCACACTGGCACAGTCTCACACTCGCGATTGGTTTGTCGTTCTCGTACGCTATTTCGTCTTTCGTTATATTCGACTTGGTCTTTAACGCGCTCACACGTCCGCTCGCCAGGCCCAACCAACATCGACTGCTAGCTTGGCCCGCTCTGCAAGTTCGGCTTTGGTCTGGGGACCCGGTTCAGAAGACTTGAGACGTTTGAGCCAAGTTTGAAGCCGCTTGCAACTCATACAAATGCTTTAGCCTGTTCGACTCGGCAGTGCTCTGCTCTGCTCTTCTCGGCTCAGGTCTGGTCTGCTCCGCTTTGTCTGTCTGGCAGCGAATTGGAGCTTGTTATAGAGAACACTTTCATTCGTTCTGCATATGTGAATAGGTTTGGCTGGAAAGTGCTATTAGCCGCAGTCAGCCACATTTACTGCGCCAAAATGGGCGCCCAACAAAAGGCGAGCAGACAAAGGCGGATTGTAAATCAAAAGCCTGCTAATGATATATCGATATAGTGCGCTCAGCAGTGGCCACAGATTCTGATCTTCAGGTTTTATTGTTTCGAAACACCGTTATAGTTAGCTCGAGCTTACACTTGCAAATCCATTATCGGCCACTCGAGAGTGTCTGGAAATGTTAATAAAATTGACAAAATAAAAAATTGTTTATACGAAAAGCGGAAGAATATAAGAAGAAATATATGTATTATTTTTAAAATGAGTAAAATGGCTTAAGTAACCCCCTAAAATAAAAACCTAAAAGAAATATTCAGAATCTATTTTTTTATCTGAAAATCTATTTACTTACAATATGTAAGTGCAAATCTTTTATGTCGAGCGTATATCTGTAAATCTAATCACTCAATGTTCGAAAAAATAATCTTTATTTGTAGTTTTAAAATGGAAATCTGAAAGCTAAGTTTAAATTTGTATCCAAGTTTTTATTCAAGAAACTATTAATTTATTTAGCACTCCCTCCCTTTAGTTATTATATTATTTTTTGAATAATAATTAATCACGTAAATAAATAATACCAACTTGTTAGTGCTTTTTAATAAAATTTAACTTGCTTTTTTTTCTAATAGAAATTCTTTCTAAGTGTAAGCACGGCTTCAGTGGGCAAACTGTCCGTTGGTCATTGGTCATCCAAATCCGTATCCATTTCCATCCATATTTGGCACAGCGCACATCGAGCCATTAGCCGCAGCAAATGTTATGTAGATCGTGTCGAGTCGGTTCGCTCTGTTGGCGGCAGCTTGCGGGGGACGTGGGGGCTGTCCCGCAAACGGTATCGTTAGTAGAGATCTGTCTGAAACTGAACTGCGGCCGGCCGTCTGACAGTCGGACAGTCCGCCCAGTTCTCCATTATTGACGTAAAGGCAGGTAAATAACCTTTCGGTATGCCCCAACACTTTTGTCCCGTCACATAAACGAAGGTGTAGTCCACAAGCAGTCCGCGTCTGTCTTTTTAGAGTGTACTGTATATGACGGATTGTCAAAAGGGAGCTATCAGCATACTGCCAGCAATTCTGACTCGTATTCTCATTCTTATTGTCATTGTAGTTCTAATTTTGATATAACTTCTTGAGAGCTTTTCAAGTTGGCATAGTGCCCAGAAGCTTTGTGGATGTGTTGTCACTGAGAGAAATGTTAGCCGAAAACATCTCGAGATCTTTCATATTCATATTGTATAAATAGAGTTTAAATAGTTATCTGAACCTTACGCTGATTCAAGGTTAAAGTGCTGGTAATTCCTTGATTTTATAGGAATTTTAATATACTAACATGCTTTGCCCGGACAGATTATTTTCTTGAAAATTTAAACATTACTCTTCCGGCCATATCCTGCGTCTGAGAAATGTAGTATGTTTTCCTTGATTTGTCCACACTTGCGTGTGGAATTTCTCAACCCTTTGTCAGTTAATTCATCCATTAATCAGTCATGATAGAGATAATTAGTCGAATTAATTAATATTCATTGGGATATAGTAAAGAGTAAATTAAGTTCAGCCAACGTGCATTGAAATGTGAGATGAAGGTAATTAAGTTCTTGCCTGCGCACGAGCCAAAATCCCAATCCCTACCGTGTCCATGTGCACTCATCAGTTATTAATGCAATGTGTCTCAAGTTTGTCAATGGGCCATATTGAAATTTGATCGAGTCAGCCAAGCGGTTAAAGCGCAGTCTTAAGTAATACTTACAGAGATATGTGACTGGATGCTGGCAAGAATATGTGTAATATGGCTTAGATTGCATTAAAGCCGAGGATTATGCAAATGCTAAAGAGTTCAAGTACTTTGAATTTGCCAGACCAACAGCCAGGCGAGATTTCAATTAGAGAGCTGCAGGGTTCTGTTCTTAAAAGATCTTAAGCTGGGCTTAGGCAGAACTTTGAGTTTGATATAAAATATTTTTAAAAATTAAACTTTAAATGCCAATTAATATGACAATTCTTAGGTACCTATTTCCTTCCATTTTCAAGAACTTTTCTTAGTTGTTGCATTTTTATTGATCTTCAATAGCTAACCAGATGCTGCAGCTGTGGCTGGCTCGCGGCATAGCTTTGAACGCCTTAATTTATTGGCTACAAGACTCGCCGGCGCCGGCGCCAGGGTCAAAAGTCAGACGTGGACGCCGTTTGAATTGTGAATGTTGGCCAGTTACTTAGATTCGGATCGTAAAGCATTCTGATATTAATTTTGGCAATACAAACGCAACGTGCTGCAGAAGATGCTGCGCATAAATCATTCAAAATGTATTTTCAAATTTTAATTTAAACCAGTTGCACAAGTGCATTGAACTTATCGAATAATAAAATGCAACAACAACAACAACAGAAGATATTGTAAAGCTACTCGTAAAGACAAAAGCCTTTGGCGAACTTATTTATTTATCAATATGTGGTGCGTACCCGTCCCGCCCCTGGGTGCCTTTGAGCTGATTGTCGACGTCATTGGGACCAAAACTGAATTCTGATTTATAAGCATGCCTCGCGACCGCTCTCGAGCAGAGCCACCCCCTCCCCCCTCCCCCTCCCCCTTCCCTTCCCTTACTCAACGGGGCTGCGCTTTAATCACGTGCGTGCATTGCGCACATGATGCGACTGCTCCCCAATCCAATACCCCATGCATGCCTCAAGCTCAAGTCAATGCCGATGCTCATGTCGATGCTGGTCTGGTGTTGCAAATGCTGCCAGGGCAAACACCCAACCAACCAGCCAGACAACCAGACAACCAGACAGCCAGCCAGCTAGTGAGCCCCTTTTACTATGCTGGCCAGATTAATAAGTAAAATAATCTATTTCTAATTACTTGATCTCTTGAATCGGCAGATGCATCATTTAAATCGTGATAATATGCCAGATATAAAAATACACCTAAAGTAAGTGATGGCCTTCGTTTTTCATTTTCAATAAATTTATACACGTGCCCAGATCTAAGCATATTCTCTTATTAATATGAACGTAAGTATATATGTAAACATTTACTAACCAAACCAATAAACTTACTGAAACACATCGAAACGTATTTATTAGTCGGGGGGAAGTAGACTATTAGTTTAACACTTTAGTGAAATAAAATAATTAAATAATTAGAGAACCATTTTGAGTGGGCTAGAGATAGCAAGATAAATAAAATGAGAAAGATAGAGAGAGAGAGAGAGAGAGAGAGAGAGAGAGAGAGAGAGAGAGAGAGAGAGAGAGAGAGAGAGAAGTAAAGAGTGCAAGAGTTTATTTATACTTATCTCTATATATAAAACTGTTTGTCCTGACTGACTGACTGACCGACTGACTGACTGATTGATGATCAACGCACAGCACACACTTCTTCGGTAGAAATGCGATTCAAAGATTTTTTGGCCGAAGTTTTAAGTTGTGTCCGATTGGCTTCAAACTTATTTTCAAAGATCTTTGTTGAAATTCATTTAATCCCTCCTTGGGGTCCATGATTTTGTGGGTGGCGTTTCGCCCTCAAATTCATTTCCATGGATCTACATAAAAAATCATTTGAGACGTGTTTCACATTTTTCGTAAATTTAAAGCTTTCTCGGGGAAAAGTGCAATACCAAGATTTTTTTGGTGAAGTTTTAATGGTTAGATTTTTGTATCTAAAATTTTTAGCACAAAATTTACCATGAGCATTATTATTATTACATTATTATAAGTATTATAAGTTATATGCGTGCATGCATACATAAATAAATACATAACATAATATGCACGCATACATACAAACCTACGACACATATTTATCAAAAATAATGTAATTTTACGAACGACTGCTTGAGTTATGAGAATCGAGGAGGACAGCAACAGTGAAGAATACGTTATTATAATTTGCAGCTTAGCCAAAGAAAATTTGGTGTGCATCTGGTAAAAGAGAACAAAAATGCAAATTGCCATAATACATATTTATACATACATGTATACGTTCACACATGTATACTCATGCACTCATACAAACATGTGAAGTTAATTTGAATATGCTTTTGGTATAGTCGAACATTCTACATAGCAAATATTACTCGAGGCTTTCCCGGCTTAAGCTTCCGTCTTAAACTTGTGATGCGTCATTTTTCCATTCAACTTCCGCCCCTGGAAAAACTAAAAATCCCTCCAACTTTGAGCCTCCTCTTGCAGCCAGGGGAGTGAGCTTCCGTAATCGGCTCATCAAGTATCGAATAACATGTTAGTTTTGTCAATAAAATAACCAACTTTTTGGGTATACTGTCCCTAAGCATGGGTCCAGCATAGTATTCCGCGATTCCATTATGCAGCAGCTTTGGCTGTGCTGTTGTATGTGTGCGCGCATGCGTGAAGAGTCCGTTTTAATCGTTGCTTGGCCATCGAATATTTCTTCGCCACGACGTCGTCGGCTTGGCTCGTAAATCCGCCGTATAAAAGGCACGTTGCGCGCTCCATTGGCCAAGCGGCCATTGTTGTGGGTCTTTGGCTAGCTGGGCTGGGCTGGGTTGGCAGGCGACCGCGACGGCGACGGCGACCGTGGCTACGCCATCGTCTGCCTACCAAAGGCTGATTTACTATGATCCGCTTGAGTTTTATGTGCAGAAAGATAACATTTTTAAGATATTGACACCTTGTTAGGCGTTTGAGAGAGTCGAGAGGCCGCAAACTGGCAACAACCTTTGGCTAGGGTTAGACATGGCCAACAGGAACGTTCTCCAGGCCAGAGGCAAACCCTTCCTGCTGCTGTTGCCGCCCCTTCCTCAAGCTGTTGTGGCCCAAGCATTTGCGTGGCTAATTGTTGTTAA